GGAAGGGAAGTGCTGAGACAAAGCCCGCGACTGTCGAGGTAAGGAGGCAACAGGTTTTCAAAGTACAGCCAGCACAAAAGCTCCTCACCCCGTGTCAGCTGAGAAGACTAAAAATATTAATGGTGTTGGTGCGCTGTGCTGTGAGTATTTTTGTCCTGGGCTAGGAAAGAACTGAGAGGCTTGTGCCCTCACGAGTGACAAGGTACCTCCCCGTCCCTTATCACTGGAGGGACAGCAAACACCCTGCCAGGCCCGAGCGCTACCGCCGCGGCAGCCCCGGAGGACGGGCAGCTGGCGGTCTGGCTGGCGAGCTCTCGGCGTGCTGACGTGCTCTCGGTGGGGAAGAGAAATCCCAGGGAAGGGGGGGAAAGCGAGCGCAGGGCTGGCGCAGGGCATCGCACCAGGACTCGGCACAGCCCTTTCATCCCAATTAGCTACGCCAACCGCTCTCCCCAGGAAAGGGCAGGGACGCCGAGGTGAGTCGCCCTCGGCAGCCCATGCACCAGCACATAATACCAGCTGCTGCCTGGTCTCTGCCTCCTCTGTCCACATTACAAACCCGCTTGGTAAAAGACTCTTTGCAGGCGGAGGCAAGCCCTGCAAGCTGATCTACATTTGCCACCGCACACAGCCCTGGTGCTACCCCAGCACCGTGTGCCAGCACAGCGTGGTGTGTGCGTGAGGAGCCGGCAAGCTGGCGTCTCCAGCATGCCATTGCCAGGGACTCCCAGCCAAGCACGGCTGAGTCTGGGGGAACTCCTTGTCCACTGGGACCAGACCATCCCAAAACCATCCCCTCTGGAAGGAAACATATAATCGGCGCCGACGCTGTGCGCTGCATGGTAAATGCTGAGCAGCAAGCCGGCCTGCCTGCTAACCTGGGCATCTTTGAGCCAGATGCCATTTAATTCAGCTGAGTGCCTGAATTAAAGGCAAGAAGCAGCAGACCTGTGCCGGGGACTCTCCTCGGGAAAGCAGAGATGCCGAGAGGATTTTAGGACCCCGCTGAGTTCCCCGTGCAGTGCAGCTGCGAAAAATGCTAAGGTGCTCTGTGGCCATCCCTGGTGAGGGGGTGGTTTTGCCCCCTCAGCGCTGGTCAGGCTGACACGACCCAGCCTGGAAACGGGCACGGCTGTAACAGCTCTGCCAAAACCGGCGAGGAGGAGAAAAGAGCGCGGTGAGGCCGGAGGAAAGCACAGCGAGGGGCGAGGCAGGCGCTCCAGCTGCCCTAGGTGGGCAGTCACTGCCCTCAGTGACAGCCCCTCTCGGCCCAGAAGAGAACAGGGCTGTAGGAGAACGCAAATTTAAGTAAAAAACCAAAAATCAGATGCTAATTTTACCTGCACCAGCAGGGGCTCGGGTGGGCTCCCGGCTTTTGTGCATGGCCCTTGGTCAGCCCTTTGCAGGAGCAGAACAGCAGCCCCTGGGTCTTTCCCTGGACTCTGCAAGCATCAGTATTTCCTCTGCATTTCTGGGCATTCATTTGGGCTCCAGGTGGACCCGGCTGCCCGGGTAAAGCAGGAGCTCGCCGAGTTCACCGCTCTGCAAACACCACAGCTGCACGGGTGAGGGTCCTCCAGGACATCTGCAGGTCCCAAACACGGCAGGACAGGGCAGTGACGCAGGAGGCAGAGGATTAACGTGCTGGAGGGCTATGGCGCTCGTGGAGGACACGAGAGACAGGGTTTAAGGTGAAAGCAGGGAGTGGCTCAAAAAGGTATGGGAAAAACACAGAGCACATGAGCCACCAGTGCAGCGGGTTGTCACAACACAGCCATGGGGGACAGGCAGCGATGGCCACTGCCAGGACCACCGGTGCTGGCTCTAGCCCACACCTGCCTGCCCTCGTTCCTCCTCTCCCCACGTGCCCGCTCTGCACTGGCACTGGGACAAGGGGAGCCTGTGCCCTGGCCTGCGGAGCAGCTCCAGGAGCTCTGCCTGAGATCTCACAGAGATCTCTCCCTATTTGCCAGAGAGGATTAAGCTACAAATTTACTACCAGGGCAAAGGAGCGCTCCTGAGCCACCGTGTGTACCCAAACGCCTCTGCCCGAGGGCGACCGGCCTCTTCCCATCAGCCCCTCGCTGCTGTGCAGCTCCCCGGGAAGTGGCCGTGGCGGGGCCCTGCCACCTCAGGCAGGTCCTCTCCCAGCGAAGAGCAGCGCAGCGCTCTCCTCGTCCCGTCTGCCCTACGTGTTCCCGTAAGCAAGCCGAGTCCTCTGCTCTGTCACAAGCAATTCCCTTTCCTGCGTGTCCCCAGGCCGCCCGACGTCCTGGAAACACCTCCCCGTGCCTGCAGCAAGGAGCAACGTCGAAGTGCAGAGCAAGAACGAGGAGGGGATCCCCACACGGTCAACGGGCCTCGGCCCTGCCCTTTTCAACAAGCCCCTCGCGGCAGGTCTGAGGGGTGCGAGGACGGGGCTCTGCCTGCCCGTCCCTCTGCCCGCAGCACCGTTCTGCCAGCACCTGCCTCCAAACGCCCCGAGGTCCCTCGCAGACCTGCAGAAAAAGGTTGGGTTTTGTTTAAAGCAGCCTATTTCTACACCTTGCAACCGCATGAAAAACACCAAGTGATGACTCCTACAAGAGCCGCTATTAAAAAGGAAAAAAATAACCCAACTCCCATCCACTTTGGTTTTAATTCCCGTTCTTCTGAGGGCGTGGTGCCAGTCCCCACCGCTGGTGGCACCGAGGACAGCTGGCCGCTTCGTCACACCCCACAGCTGCCAGCCCTCCCCCAGGCCCTGGGCTCCAACTCCCTCTTCCAGGGTTTTCCCAGTTGGACAGACGGATTTGAGACGGGCATTTTGGTGATCACCGGGGCAGGGTGTACGCGGAAGGAAGACGAACCCGCTGCAGTTTGCAGGACTGCCCACGGGATCCTGCTGGGGCTGGGGCTCTGGCCCCGGGGAAACCGGCGTTTCTCGGCTTGGTTTTGCAGCTGGTTCATGGCTTCCCACTCCTCGGTGCTCCCTTGTCACGGTCCCCTAGAAATGAAATGGGCATCTCAAGGGCTTTTGATATCCTCGCAAAAGAAATTAATTGAAGGGACTTCAATGTTACGACTCAGGCTGCAACACCAGAGCGAGATTTTAGCAGAGAGAGATGAGGAGGCTCCCCCCGGCAGGATAACATCCCCCGGTAGAAAGTGCATTTAGCTAATTTGGACCGTCCGAGTAACCCCCGTGTGTCTGTCGAGTACCAGGGTTATCCCAGTGCCACCCCAGTCCCGTGCAGTCGTGCCTGCAGGATTCAAATCTGATTTTTTTAAAATCACTTTTGCTGTCTAGTTTAGCCTGCAGGTTTGGGTGAAGATTGGCTTTTACTGCTCTCGCCTGCTGCGGGTGGAAGGGGTTAAGGCCATGCCCTGCAGCTGAGAGACGTGGCCTCCCCCTGAGCAGGGCCAGGCAGAGCATCGCACTGCCACAGGACACAGGAAGGACTGAAAACCGGAAAATGTGGGGGTAACTGGGGGAAAACCAGCAACTGCTGGGTCCCAAAGGGGCTTGTTAAACCCGGCTTGGGGATAGCGAGGCGTTTGGCCCCGTGGGCAGCAGCTCGCCCTCCCTCGGGTTCGGCGAGCTGGCTGTCCCCTGCCCTCAGGCACATCACTCCCACCTTCCTCGCAGACGTGCCTCTCTGCCAGGGGTATTTCGGTGTCCCCCCCCGGCCCCTACTATCTACCTTGTGCTGAAGGGGAAGAAGCTCTAGGTGCCGTATCCTCCGCTGCGCCCACGGCCGCTCGCCGTGACGCTGATGGCACATCGGGGTCCCCACCGGGGATCCCCAACACGGTCCCCCCGGGCACTGCACACCAGCCCCGAACCCCCAGGGGAACAGGGGCTGTGAGATGCCTTTGGGGTCTGCAGTGGCTGCTTCTTATTAGGAAACCTCCTGAGAGCTGAGCACCGAAACGAAAGGGAACAAACACAGCCCCCCTCTCCTAAAAATAGAAATCCCTCAAAAATAAATGAAAATTAAAGGCAGCATGCTCGGGACGGCAAGCACCAGCCATTTACACAGACAGGAGCTCCCTTATGGCATTTTGCTCCACAGGCTCTTTCTGAGCCAGAAAATTAGCGGGATTCAGAATAGAGTTACGAGTTTGTATGAATCAGAACTGACAGTTGCTTTATCTGGAACAACACTTAAGGCATGTAAGCTCCAGGACACGAGCGGCTCCGAAACGCCTGGCTCAGCCCCTCCCTGCGGGTCCACAGGCCCATTAACAGCTACGAGGGGAGGGTTACGCTGCCTTCCAAAGCCCGGGGCTGGCTGCTGCCCAGCACAGGGCGCTGGACGGATGCGAGGTGTGCGCTGCGTCGCTGCTCCTGTCCCCGCTGCACGGCAGGAGTGGCAGGGGAAGGGAAAGTGTTTGTTTGTTGTTTTTGTTGTGGGGGGGGGGGGGGGGCAGAAGCTGGTAATTCAGCAAATGCAAAGTTTTTTTTGCAGTGATGTCTTCTTTTTGCTGCTAGGTCTGCGGGTGGAAGCAGTTCACCTGGAAGATCATATATTGGCAATATTTCTCCCCTGGGCAGAGAAAGGGCTCGAGGCTACTTCATCCTCATTCCCAGCAGCTATCCCAGTTATGCTCCTAGCTGTATCCCAGTTATGCTCCTAGCTGGTTTGGAGCAGTGGTATCTGTCTCTCATTTTTTCATTAAGAATTTCAACAAATTACCTTTGCATCCATCAAAACAATTTTTTTGAAACCTCAAACTCTCTCCAAGAGGAGCTGGCTCTCCAGCAAGTCCCAGTCGGGAAGACGAGCCCGTCCTGGCATGGCTCAGCAGAGCCACCGCATCGCCGCCAGCACCAGGGAGTGTTTCGGGACTGCGGCGTTCGCTCGGGCCAGACCCTGCTCTCCCTGAAGGCTGCAGCCACACCACCACGCCACGCAGCTCAGCCGTGGCAGTTGGCAACGGGCTTCCTAACCACCCCTCTCCACGGACGCGCCAAAACGACGCCGTGCAGCTGCGCCGTGTGAGGGGTCCCAACTCAGATGGCGGCAAACGCAGCTCAGGTGCAGAAGATGAAGCCGCTGGTCAAGGCTCTGCCTCTGGTCCCGGTTCACGCGCCGGTGGGTGGGAAGGGCCCAGCCAAGAGGTGAGTGTAGCTCCCAAGGGGGTCTCCCAAAGGAGAAAAGGGCTGAGATGGATATGTATTATCACATTCTCCGTCGGGCAAGGTGCCCGGACATGGCATAATTAACTCCAAAGTGCCACTGATAAAGACAAACCCCAGCCCCATGGCCAACGACACGGCCCCGGGTGGAAAGGCACCCCATGTGTCGTGCTTGTGCCTGGCCTAAGGGAGCTGGAAGGTCTCACCACACCGACTGCCGGACTTGAAGCACGGGGAAATGCCTTCAAACGTGGCCAGTCACCTCCTCCGTGCAAGAGGGGCTGTGTGCTCAGCTGGCTGCCTCTTTTGACCCTCAGTAGACTGTAAGTACAAAACCGAAGTTCCCCTGAAAACAGAGCCCCGGACCCGCTCGGAGCAAGCATCCTCACGGGAGGCGTGTGGGTGCGGTGCCACGCAGAGGTGGCTGGGGGTCTCTCGCTCTGGCATTAGCGCCGGACACCAGGACAACTTTGTCCAAGGCTCAGAGTTAACTCACAGGGTGACCGCGTCTTACGTTACAGCAGAGAATCAGGGAATCGGAGGAAATGCTCAGGCTCCGGGGCAGCCTCCTCAGTGCGTGGTAGTGGTGGTGTATTCCTGTGCTCTGGTCTCCGGCACATGACTGCTGTGTGGTCGCTGGAACGGAGGCATCCACAGAATCAGCCCAGCTGCCTTCATCTCGCTCCTGTACCTGCCCTCCACGGAGGGTGGACGAGAGGGCTCACCCACGCAGCCCATTTCTCTTCAAGTAAGCATCATCCCATGGGACTTTCTGAAGGAGCTCCTCCGCTAGTTTGGAGGACTGGGGTGGCATCAGGGTGCTGTCAGTCATACAGCTGTTGACGTACGCATGTTAAAGGCCCATTTCCAGTTTTATAACAGAAGGATTTAGCAAAATCTCCAGTTTTGCGTTACTGGGATTTTGAACAGGGCAGATGGCTACGTTTCTATTTGCGATAAAGCCGAGTCTTTCCTCTTAATTAGATCCAGTTTCCTCCTAGGGGGGCAGTGGCTTTTGAGCTGGAGCTTTCTGTGAAGCTCTAATTAAACCCTTCCTTGATTGTCATCCACTAATTAGACATTGACGATTTAAACTTTTTTTTCCCAAAAGAGATACCGAATTCCTGATCCTCCTCCTCTCCTCCTTCCCCACCTTCCTGCTCTTGATTTTTCCCCTCTGAAGAGCCCGTTCGTGCCCTCGTTCAGCAGCCCTGTATTCTGCACCAGCCATCCCGTAGGGACGGGGTGGACCCACCTCTGCCCCATCTCTCTGCCTCTCACCTTGTTTACCTGGTTTTCACCAGTGAGGCCATGAAACTTTGGGCCTCGCTGTTGCTTCTGCCGTAGTGGTGCAAGTCCTCCTTCAGCTAAAACCTCACTGAGGCAGGAGGAATGCCTTTCCCTTCTCTGCCCCTCCAAGCCCTCTGCTCTGGCACGGCCCTCCGACCTCCCAGGCAGGTGAATCTCCAAAGCTTGCCATCACGCTGTGCTGGAGCCTGCGTCAGGCCACATCCCTGCCCTACCCATGAGATTTGGCCCATGGTGTCCTCTCCATGGGTCATGGCAGCTTCTTCTCCATGCACAAGGTAACACAGCCGCCTGCGGCTGCCTCTGACATGCCCAGCGAAGTTCAGCCTCCCCCAGAGGAGGCTCCCTCTTGCCGGGACGCACCACCCCACTGCCTCTGCGTCCTGGCCCTCCCTGATGGTGACACCAGCCTCTCCTGCAGGACAGAAGCTCTCTCATGCTGCCCCGTCTCAGGGCAGGGTGGATAGCCAGTCTCTGTTAATGCCGCCTTGGACTTTCCCCGACACAGAAAGGCCGTGTGGCCGTGCTGCTTTGGGAGAGCTCCGAGCCGAGCCTGGGCCAGCTGGGGCCGGGAGAGCTGGCCCATGGCCCCAGCAAGCCGCACACTCAGGGTTCTCACAAGCGCAGTTGTGAGCAACACAAGCGTAGCCTCGAGGTGCAAAGTGTGAGCAGGGACAAGCCCTAGGGCAAGGGCGAGGGGCACCTAGAGGTGACAGCTGCAGGGTGCTGCCGTGGTCACCCAAGCCCGAGATAGGGCAGGACAGGCGGCAGCGGGGAGGAAGCCTGGGGCTGCCTTCGGTGCAGCGCCCTCCGCCACGCGGCTCCCTGTGCAGCAGCAGCACTGGCCAGGCGCTCCAAGCCACTTGATTAAGCTGCTGACAATTGGTAGGATTTGGGCTCTGAGCTTGCCTTAAACCAGTAAATCTTCGGGACAGGGAAAATTAAAGATGAAGGAATTTCCCGATAAGCCAAGGCAGCTCCAGGTCTGGCTGCGGTCCTGATCTGGGTGAAGAGATGTCAGGCTTTCCAGCGCAAGCCAGCTGCAGGGGAGAGAGCCGGGCTAGCTGCAAGCCCTTAGCATGGGGGGGCTGTATCCTCCCACATCAACGACTCGGGCCCTTCTCCCCGGGAGGGCGGACTGGAGTCCTTTCATTAGGAACATGGGGGGCTCTGGGTCCTTCTGGTGGAAGCTCTGGGTCTAGTCACACTTTGTACGCAGTGGGGAGTAACACAATGTCTTTCCACACATGGCAAAACTGGAGAGAGAAGGAAGTGAAGGATCCCGCTACCGGGAGAAGCTCAGCATCTCTTCTCAAGGTCTTTCTCCCAAAAGGACAGACGCTGTGTGAGGACAAGCTCAGAGGTCTGCGCACAAGGGGATACTTGGGATCCTTATCAATAGATGCATCAGGTCCCCTTCTGGGGAAAAGTTTGGGTTATTGTATGGTGTCCCTTTAAGCAGTGAGTCTATGTGGGTGTTGGGGTACATCTATGGCGGGGTTTCTTTCGTGGAGGGAGCTAAGGAGGATCTATAGACAGGGCCACTTTTGGGGGGAATGACTGGGCTTGAGCCTGTGGTCACTTCTGAGGAGACATCAAGGTAAATGTACGGTGTCCCTCTGTGGGAAGCACTGTACTCAGGGTCTCTTTATGCAGAGAGCTGGGGAAGGTCTGTCCCCACAGCCCTTTCATGATGCTGGAGGGAGGGAGGGGTCCTGGGCACAACATCTCTTTAAGGGGGAGCTGGAGGGTCTGTCTGTGCACAGGTGCTTTTACAGGGCTGAGGGGCTCCATGCATGGGCTCCTGCCAGTGATGGGGTCCCTTCAGGAGCTGGGGGTTCCCCTAAAGTGGGTATCCCCTGGGGGCAGGCTTGCTCAGGGATGCCCTTGGGGATGGGTAGACAGGGAGACTAGTCCCTGATGTGGGGTGCCCCGGGGGGTCTGGGTCCCCAGGGGGCTGGTCCCAGGTCCAGGTGTCCTAGGGCATCTTTGTGGCTGGTCCTTGGCTCTGTGGGACAGTCCTTGTTGTAGGGTGTCCCAAAGCTGGTCCCTGACTGGGTTGTACTGGGGTGCCCTGCAGCCAGTCCCTGCCCCAAGGTGTCCTGGGGTGCTCCAAGGCCAGTGCCAGGCCTGGCTGTCCTGGGGTGCTCCAGGCTGTCCAGGTGCCCCAGGGCTGGTGCCCGTTCTGGGGTCCCCTGAGGTGGGTCCCTGATCCCGCTTTCGTGCTGTGCCCCAGGGAGCCCTGTGGTTCCCTGGGGTCAGATCTTGCCTGGGGAGCCCCCGGTGCCAGTGCCCAGAACAGGTGCCCATTCCTGGTGCTCTGTCAGCGCTAGTGCCTGGCCTCGGGTGTCCCAGGAAGCCCTGGAGTGCCCTGGGGACGGTCCTTGGCTGGGATGCCCCATGGCCCTGCAGTGCTTGCACCCTGCCCAGCTTCCTTGAGCAACCCTGGTGTTCCCTGCGGCCAACCTCTGCCCGCGGAGCCCCGGGTGCCGGTGCCTAGAGCCGGCACCTGTTCCTGGTGCTCTGTCAGCGCTAGTGCCTAGCCTGGGTGTCCCAGGAAGCCCTGGGGTGTCCTGGGGCCGGTTCCCGGCCGGGACGTCCTATGGATCCACAGTACTTGTACCCAGCCCAGCTTTTTCGGGCAACCCTGGTGTTCCTTGCGGCCAGGGGCCCCGATACCAGTGCCTGGGGTTAGCCCCGGGTGCCGGTGCCCCGAGCTGGTGCCCATTCCTGACGCCCCGTCAGCGCTAGCGCCTGGCCTGGGCGCGCCAGGAAGCCCTGGGGCCGGTTCCCGAAACCACGGCCCCGCAGCGCTTGGACCCAGCCCAGCTTCCTTCCCTGGGGTCAGATCTTGCCTGGGGAGCCCCCGGTGCCAGTGCCCAGAACAGGTGCCCATTCCTGGTGCTCTGTCAGCGCTAGTGCCTGGCCTCGGGTGTCCCAGGAAGCCCTGGAGTGCCCTGGGGACGGTCCTTGGCTGGGATGCCCCATGGCCCTGCAGTGCTTGCCCCCTGCCCAGCTTCCTTGAGCAACC